CATCAAGACAACCTGGAGGTGGTTGGAAAAATGGTTTGTTTATATTCATGTATATCATAATATTCAATTCATTAATCTTGTTTAGGTGCTGGTGCACAAGAAGAAAATCTTCATCGTCGAACAAATATGTTTCAATGTCTTGAAGATCCTTATCATGAATTAGATATCCAACGAGATTGGAATTATCATATACCTGAAGTAAGTTTGACGCATTTGATACATATATATACATGTATGTTTATTCGAAAAATTTTTATATTTAAGTTTGGTGGTATTTATTCTCCAAATGTTAGTATTTTTCGTGGTTCAGAATCTAATGGCTATCCATTTTTTCCAGATGGTCCAAAATATATTTCTTTTATTGCTTGTTCTGCATATTCTCATCCACCAACAGAAACAGACCAAAATGGAGAATTGAAATTAAGTGGTAGAAATGTGATAGAAAATACAAAAAAGAAAATGAAAACTATTTTAAATATTGCACTCGACAATAAACATGATATTATTATATTATCGGCAACAGGATGGTAAGTACTAAATAAAAAATCATAAGAACAGGTATCGTCTAAAATTTGAATTAACTTATTTCTAATTAAAAACTATAGTTTTATAATATTAAACTTGGTTTCTCTTCTTTTTAATTTAGTGGTGCTTTTCAAAATCCACCTAAACATATTGGTAAAATTTCTGTTATATATTTCAATTAATTTTTTTATTAATAATCTATTTTCTATTATAGCACAATTATTTCATGAAGTGATTACAAAAGAATATAGTAAATCATTTAAATGTATCGTTTTTGCTATTATCAATGATCATAATTGCAATAAAGCCCATAATCCAACAGGTAATATTCAACCATTTGCTGAGATTTTTCAAGTAGATGCACTGTCTATTGATGAGCTTCAACAAAAACTGTCTCAATCAATTGAATAAATAAAATTATTTTTCTAAATTTGTGATTACCTAATTTTCTACAAAATAAATCGTTATATTTTTATTCTAGATAGATACATAGATATATTAAAATGTCATCAGCATTTGTTGAACTTCTTCGTAAATCTAATCTAGATTATATTGTTAAACGAAAATCATTTAAAATTGGCTCACAAAATGCTGATATTATATTTGCATCATTTATTAATATGAAAACGAAAACATTACAAGTAAATAGTAAATATAATATAATAAGAAGAAAAAAACACATGCAACTTTTGTTTAGTTAATTGCTTATTTGGATAAGTCAGAATCAGTCATACTATGGTCAACATCATTAGATGAACGTACATTTCAATTAAATGCACGTCTTTTAGATATAACAGAACTTGGTGAAACGATGATTTTTCTTTCTGAACGTTTAAATGAGTCAGATTTTACATTTGCTAATGCTATATCAACAAATACTCAAAATCAAAATGAAGTTTTACCATTGAATATAACATTTACGCATCCAAAAACTAAACATTCAATAACTCTGCAACTTGATGAACAAATTGATGAACGAGAAAAAAGTTCATATTTAAGTAAAATTCTTTTACATGTTTATAAATGTAATGAACAATTATCTGCTGAAGTTAAAACACAACAATTACGTATTACAGAGTTAACCAATAAAACACAATATGGCCAATTAGATTCTAATCGAAATTCTAACGATAATAAATTACATGATATAAATGATCAAAAAAATAATCTGATAAAATCACAAGAACGTATACAAAGAAGTTTAATTAATCCAACGGCTAAACGACGTAAAAAAGCAACCGGTGTCAATTACGATGATGAAGATAGTGATTAAATTTATAGAATTATTTAGTTTTGTAAAATATGAATATTTTTAATAAAATAAATATTTATTTGTATGATTATTAATATTTTGTTTTTCTTTAGATATCTAAAAAAGAAAATTAGTGCTAGGAAAGAATAATTTAAAATTTTACAACATTTCAGTAAAATAAATAGAATAAAACATAATTGTTTGATAACATATGTAGATATTATTCTTTCAAATAAAGACTAACTATGACCATAATTATATTAGGTGATATAAAAAAAACAAAATAGAAGAATTATTTTATTATTTCAGATTAAAATGAGTAAAACAACAGGACCAGATACCAAACAAATACAATATGATCGTCAACTTCGTCTTTGGGGTGATCATGGACAAAAATCTTTAGAAGTCGGACGTGTTTGTTTAATTGGTGCTAATGCATTAGGTACTGAAATTCTTAAAGCTCTTGTTTTACCTGGTCTTGGTTCATTTACAATAATTGATCATCAATTAGTAACATTAGCTGATTGTGGTTCAAATTTTTTTGTTCATCCATCAATGATTGATCAATCACGTGCTCGGGTTACTTGTGACTTATTAAAACAACTTAATCCAGATGTTCATGGTACATTTGTTGATAAACCATCAATTGATGATTTACTTAAACAAAATACATTTGATTTTGCTCAATTTAGTGTTGTTATTACTGCTAATCTACCATATAATACATTAACTATACTTGCTAATCATTTATGGACACTTAAAGTACCATTAATTATTGCACGTACTTATGGGTAAGAAAATAAATCAACAACAACAAAAAAATGATTTTATTGTTTTTTACTATTTAGTTTTATTGGTACAATTCGCCTTCAATTAGTTGAACATTTTATTCTTGAAGCTCATCCAGATGATACAATACCTGATCTTCGTCTTGATCGTCCATTAAAATCATTTATTAATCATTGTAATTCATTAGATTTTGATAATTTAACACGTGAAGAACATTTACATATGCCATCACTTATTATTCTATTTAAAACTTTACAACAATGGCAAAAACAAACAAATCGAACTGATTTACCACGTATACGTAAAGAAAAAGATGAATTTAAACAAATACTTGAACAATTATCTCATCATTCAGCATATGATGCTAATGATATAAATAGATCTCTTGAAAATTTTGATGAAGCTAAACGAACAATTCCATCACGTCTTGTTAGTACAGTTATACCATCAACAATAAATGATTTATTTCAAGATCGTTCTTGTTTAGAATTATCTAATCAATCAAATATATTTTGGTTTATTATAAATGCAATTAAATTATTTACACAAAATGAAGGACATGGTTTATTACCTGTTCGTGGTGATGTACCTGATATGATAACAAATACAAATTCATATGTTAAATTAGTTGAAATCTATCAAGAACAAGCAAAAAAAGATTGTGATATTATTTATAATTATTTAATTGATTTATTAAAAAAACATAATCGATATTCAAATGAACAAGCAACATTACATGATCTTGTTCATATTTATTGTAAAAATGCATCATTTTTAAAAGTTTTAAGAACATCATCAATGAAAAATGATGATGATTTATTAAAAAAATATATTGAACAATTATCATTTGAATCATCACCTGATGAACCCGAACCAGAAATATGTTGGTAATTTGATTCATTTCTTTATTCATTTTTTTCGTTATATATAATTTGAATTTATTTTTTTTAAAGGTATATTGGTTTACGTTTATGTGATTCATTCTATGAAAAATTTAATCGTTATCCTGGTGAATTTCCTTTATCAATTAATGAAATGGATACTGATCAAAGACAACTTGAAATAGATTTAAATGATTTAAAACAAATTGGAAAACAAATTATAAATTTAGATAAACAACAAGGTGCTGTACGTGAAAATATTCTTGAAGAATTAACACGATATGGTGCATCAGAACTTCATTCAATTTCAGCTTTTATTGGTGGCTGTTGTGCACAAGAAGCAATTAAATTAATTACACATCAATATGTACCTATTGATAATGTATTAGTTTATAATGGTATTCGACAATCGACAAGTGTATTTAAATTTTAAAAATTTCATATAGAAGAAATATGAACAATGATACTGTGTGATTTTTATTATAACTTGATATGGAAGTTTTCATTTTTTTATACTAACACAAAATTTATTAGACAAGAGAAAAATGATTCAGTTTCATATTTTTATTTTATTTAAAAAAAAAGAGAAATTAAATAGTACAAGTAAATGTTTTGATTCTTTCTGCTGTGAAATCAGATCTAATTTCACTGTAAAATAATGATCGAACATTGTTTTCTTTTAAAAGTGAAAAAATCACAAAGAGGTTTGTCTACTTCCTTTTTTATGTCATCAAAGTTTATATGAATATAGATTAGTTACTATCTCTATTAGGTAAATACTGTCAAGATCTGTCATTTGTTTTGTTGTGCAATGACAGGAATACAAAAATAAGAACAGCTTGTAAAGGGAAAAATAATTTTTTAATAGTCTACACGAGCATTTCTCACAAAAAAAACGTGTATTAATTAATATAATTGCACAATGCTTAAGCATAAATATTAAAAGAAGTTTACTTCCGTCGATATTCTACTTTTATGATTTGTTTCAAGTTATAGTCTATATCACTGTATATAGAATACGTCAGTCTTTAGAGAAAAAAAACACATTCTCTATCATCGAATCTTCTAGATTTTATTCTTTCCTTTTATATTTTCTTTTTCTTCACCACTTTAGGCATTTTTTCTTTCTGTCTTCTCTATCAAAACACAGACGATTATACATACGAGATTTATAGACGTATAAATACTACGTACACTTAGATATATCGGTTAAATTTGCTCTCATTCACTTTTCACACACCTCATATACAAATTTTTTGATCAATATAACAAAAAGATGTCATCATCAACTATATATTCACTTCATTATTTCAATGGTCGTGGTCGAGCTGAAGCAACTCGTCTAATCTTCGCTCAAGCTGGTCAAAAATTTGAAGATCTTCGTCATACTCAAGATGAATGGGCAAAATTAAAGGGTCAAATGCCTTTAGGTCAAATACCTGTATTAGGTAACAGTTGCATACTTTACTATTTAAATTAATTTTTCATATATTGATTTTTTATTAGAATTCGATGGTGAAAAATTACCTCAATCATTAGCTATTGCACGATATGCTGCTCGAAAAACTAAACTTGCTGGTAAAGATGATCTTGAATCAGCTAAATGTGATGTTATTGTTGATACAATGCAAGAAGTCAATGAAGCATATTATCACGCATGGTTTCATATTAAAGATGCACAACAAAAAGAAACTGAACAAACTAAATTTAAAAGTGATACATTACCACAAAAATTAACTGGCCTTGAAACACTTATGAATAAATTTGGTAATGGAACATGGGCTGTTGGTGATAATGTCACATGGGCTGATTTATTAGTATTTGATTCAATACAAAATGTTCTTAAAATCGATGATCAAGCACTTGAAAAACATGCAACATTAAAGAAAAATCATGAAGCTGTAAAAAAATTACCAAATATTGCCGCATATTTAGCTAATCGAAAAGAAACAGCATTTTAAATGCAAATATATTT